AGATTCATTATGTGGAGGCTTTGGTTCTACCAAACCTCTAATGAATCTACAACACCTTTGGTCAACGCGGATCACTTAAACACCGTTGATCATTAAATGACACTTGTGAGAATTCCAAATGGATTATATACTTGACAAAAAGCAAATGTAACTTGTTGTGTGGAGGCTTTGGTTCTACCAATCCTCTAAGGAGTTCTAAATGCAAGCTTCAAGATGGTCATCCAACTAACCACTAATTATTTACTTGTTTTACTTTATGCTTTTATTTTTTTATGCTTTATGTACCATTTATTTTTAGCATTTACATTTCATGCTATTTTCATCTTTGCTCATTTGAGCATTTACTTTCTTGTCATTTTTACTTTGCTCACTTGAGCTTTTATTTTCTTTTTTTTAAGATACTTAATAATCAACATAAACCATAAAAATCTTTAATGGTACTTGGACTATTTGGTACTATCCTTGGCATTATGGAGTATGAGACTTTTTTCTTGGACTTAGGATTAGAAACCTTGGCCTATCTTGAGGACCTTGTGATCTTATCTGATTATTTTGTCAGGAGTTCTTGAGGTTTACCTCAAGACATTGGGTTGCTTGTTTGTTTTTGTGTGCAGGTTTTTGTGATTGCACCCTTTGTTTGTAATCTAGAATTCACCTGTATACAACCGTTACTCTGCCCAATTTTTGTGAAGACTTAATACACTTGAAGTTTGGTTCTCTCAAGAGGTCTAGTATTGTTTTGCTTGATTGGTTTCAATCCAAGGAATGGGAATTCTATCTTGGCTCATAATGTCAAGTATTTGTTTCTTGTTGGTTAGATGGTTCTTATCCCTAACTTTTACCTTATGCTTTAGGATAGTCCCTTCTTCTCCTCCCATCTTCTTTAATTTCAAAAATATTCTTCCTCCTTTTGAAAACTCTTCTTGTTTTTAAACATGAACCACTTTCATAATAAACTTGGACTTATGTCCATGCATTTTCAAAATATTTTCATAAATAAACTCTAATCAACTTAATAATACCTTGACATTTTTGTGAGAAGACTAAAAGTCAATCAATCTCATTTCAAACCATTTTGCCACTTTGGCTTCTATCTTTAAACTTTTCTCAAAAGATTGAACTCTTGTCAATCCTTGTAGTGATGCAAACAACTATACTTCTGCAATATATAGTGAATAGAGATATTTCCCACTTGGGTGTTGAGTGAGGCATTGTTGATTTTAAGATCCAGGCCATATCCTCCACTTTGAGATGATGCAAATTCTCCTTTCTCATAATTGTGGGTAGTAGGTATGTTTTCCACACGGACAATGACGATGAGGTTTTATCTCATAAAATTAACCAACACATTTTTATTTTAAATTTTTAAAAGAGGAACTACGTGTACACTGATCCCCTATTGCACGAAAAGGTGGTACGTAGGCACTAAAGATTCGCAACCGCGGCGGGTGAAAAAATTATAAACTAAATATATTTCTTTTCTCACCTCTACCATCCATTTTTATACAACATTTTTCATAGCCAAAATATACAGATTTCACAAAGAGGTTCCTGCGGAGTACCGTAGATGTTTAGGGTGCTAATACCTTCCCTTTGCATAACCAACCTCCTTACCTTGAATCTTTCCCCTTCTTTTTGGGTTATTCGCTCTTTTCTCATTCCTTTGGAAACAATAAAGCACGGTGGCGATTTTTATTTTGATTTGTATAAAGTCTAGTCAACCCAATTACTTAGTCTTAAACATTTCTACCGCTACAGAAAAATGGCGACTTTACTGGGGAAAGATTAACCTCTTGCTGGTCCATCCCTAAGTGGGTTAAACCTATATTTGTTTATATTTGTATATGTGTTATTATTGTTTTTTGTGTTATATGTTGTATATATGTTTGTCTGGATTTTCTTGGTTTTCAGGGTGCTTGGTGATCACTTATAAGTCCTATACCCGGACTTGGGCAAACTTTAAGAAAGGACGAACGATATAGTCATGTTAACTTTGAGGGATTAATCCCAAAAAAGGAGGCATGAGATCCCCCACTCAATGGAGGCCCCTTTGATTGTAGTGTCGTTTACCGAGTAATCGAGAAGACGTACTGCTTTCGACCTGGGAGCCTGCTGAAACTAAGGACCTTTAAATACCAAACTCATCTTGGCCTTTTAGGTGTAGTGCGAAAGCTATGATGGAGTAATCCAGAAATAGTTGTCACGCGATACTATGCTCGATCGAGTCTTTCTTGAGAATATTACTAATTACCAAGTTAATCGGGAAGTTGGTAATATCTGAAGGAAGGATGTAGACTCTGGGAACCTCTAGAACCTTGTTCGGTAGGTGATAACTTGTCATATTGTTTCATACTACAACACCAAAAACTATAAATAAACATAAAAATGAACATCAAATGGCATGTTGGAGTTGTCCACTTTAACAGTGTTACACCATCACGCGAATTTAAGCTCACCAAGTACACTCCAATTGAAGATGTGTGTAAAATATTGTAGGAACTTGTACCTTTTGGCGATAATCTCAAAGCTGTGAAGATCGAATACCGCTCGCCATCTATTGACAAAGATGGGAAGCTTATGTTCATCAACTGTGAGCTGAAGAACGGCGCTGTTATACGGGCTATGTGGAATACTTTTACCAGTTTTGAGGAGAAAGTTATGATTGAGATAGATGCAACTATTTCACGATTGGTCGATGATATTATCATGATGTTGTAACGTTCACGCGGACGTTGATTTGTATTGTTTGATTTATGTTAAAATCCTATATGTATTTCTTATGTTTATGTTATGAATTGTATTTTGAGTTTGTGATATTGGTGTTATTCAATTATATTTTTTTGGTTTCTGTGTAGCACAAAATGGAAATTACTTCTCTGAGTCAAAACCGGAATTACTTCTCTGAGTCAAAATCGAAAATTAAATTCCGATTCCAATGTATAGTTTATCAAATTTTGGTGCGCACCGAAAATATACTTCCGATTTTGAGGGATATTTAAGGATTTCGCGTGGTGCGTAAGAAGAGCATGGGGTGGAATAAGAAATCCCTAAAAAAATTATTGGTATTTATATAACTCAGTTCAAACAATATAAATAATAGGCTCAATCAATAATAAATCCAACAAAATAAAAGTAACCTAATAAAAAATATTTTCATCTTCTTAATCTTGAGGAGTACTATTTCATCTCTCTCAAACAGAAACAGACCTCTAAAAAAACAATTATATTTTTTATTAGAGATCCATTTTTAGAAAACTTTACTTCGTACTCCTACACGAAAAAAATTTGGAACGAAATACCCTTGTATAAAAAGTTCATATTTTAATTTTTTTTCTTTTTCCTCACATTTCAGAAAAGCTCTCTGATCACCCAAAAATATATAAATCGGAACACATTTTCAAAGTCATTCAGTTTACAAAAATACATATTAGAATACTTTTTGAAAATATTCCGGTAAAGAAATTGTCATACCAAAACACTTTTTACAACTGTTCCGATTGGATATCTTTTAAAAATTAAAAAAAAAAAAAGTCATGTCGGAACACTTTTTAAAAGTGTTCCAATTGAGTATATTATAAAGAGATACACACCGAAAGATTTTTTTAAGTGTTCCGAAACGCAGGCGTAAGGGTGCAAATTTCAATTTTTTTTTTGTGATTAATAAAAAATGAAATGATAAATTAATTAAAAATATTGAAGAACAAAACTGACATTTTTAAAAAATTATAAAAATATAAATTTAATTATAGAAATACAAAGTAAGATTTTTTATTTTTATTATTCATTTCGGATCTCTAAAAAAATGGGGACCAACCTTGGTCCAGTCAAGTATGATTTACCCATTGGTAAAATGTGTGAAGATTTAGTAGCCAGGCTGTGTGTTTCAATAGCATTGCTAGCAGATTCTTGTACATAATAAACTAGTAGCTGTAGTGTACTGGATGCTGTATTTGACTAATTCACTCCTTTCACCAATAATTCTTCTCTTTAATGCTTGCACTAACTTTCACACAGTTTCGATTCTTATTGGTTTTTCTTTAATTTCTTTAATAAGTAAGCATTAGATCTTGAAAACAAGAATCCAAAGCTCCTGCCAAGCCAGCATCCATAACTCTTATTTCAAAATCATTTTAATGAGTTATGACTACTTTGACATTATAATGAAATTAAATTTATATAAAACAATTTAGATACAAAAAATGCCTATTGTTGAAAAAACATAAAGTAAAGGAAGATTGTTATTGACTATTGTCACAAAATTCAAAGTCAATTAGAAAATCATCACCATTATTTCTTTGAAAATAAGACATGTATGTTAACTTTTGCATTATTCCTTTCCAATACAAAATATTCTTAATAAATAAACATTACTAAAAAAAACATTTTCCAATAAATTTTACTTAATAACTTTTTTACTAATTAATTAATTTAAAAATCAATCAATTTTATAAATTTAGAAAAGCCTTCAATTTTATTTTTGTTAATTTTGAAAAGCTTTCATTTCAAATTTTGTTTTATACCTATTAAGTTTCATAATGCCTGCAAAACATAAGAACATATATATATATATATATATATATATATATATATATATATCCACCTAAATTGCATCATTTTTTAGAAGAAGCAAAACCATAATCAATTATGATAGAAATTGAACAATTATCCAAACATAGAAAAATTACTCTCTCTTGTACTTTTCCTACCACATTATCAAGAATCTAACAAAGCAAGAAAAGAGGGAGGAGATAGTAAAAGAAAATACAAAAGTAAACTATATTGATCTTGAGGCAGAATTCAAAATTTCACTCTTTTCTAACCTAAAGAAAATCATATAACATATATGAAGGAAAAAAACATAACACTAACATTGTATTACACAAAAAAAAACATCATTGAGTTTTCAATATCTGAGATTTACAACACTCACACTCTGCATCGTTGTATAACAATCTCTTTAGCTAGATTTCGAATTCGCTCGCATACATATGTATGTAGCATTATTTGATCATAAGAGAAGGAATGGTTAAAAGGGTTTGTTTCTCTCTCCCAAACAAACGTTTCAATGTTTTCAATTGATTCACAACATGTCCATGAATACCAACCCTAGTTGCAACCACACTTGACATAATTCTCTTTCTTAGCCTCTTTAATCTCTTCCCAATCCTCACCTTCAACTTAGATATTTTTATCCTTAGACAAGATTGTTTTCTTCTAGAATTCGCTTGTTCTAACACCTTGTAGATCAAGAATTGTGCTCTTCTATGAAGTATTTCTTCAGGATCTTCTTTATCCATCTTTGAGTAAGAGTATTGTTTCCTAGAAAGAGCCATTTTTTAGTAATTAAGAAAGAAGAAGAGGTAGATGTGGATGTAGCAATGTGGTTTATGGTTACTATATTTATATAGTATATAGATTTTGAAGTAATATATTATTTATAGTATTTATTTTTAGGGGGTGGAAAAAAAATATTAAAGTGGGGTCATTCTAGGATGCCATAGGGTGATGATGAAGATCATGTGCACCAATTATGTGTAACAAATAATGGAGTTTATTAATTTGTGCTTCTGAACTGGCTTACATCATTTAATTTAATTAAATTAATTCATGTCTAATAGAACCCGCCTTAGAAAAATATAGCTAAATTTATAAGTAGTGACACTGCCACCACAAAATGTAAATTAATTTTAGTGAATAATTTGTATCTTTTTTTCTGTTTTTTGGCTTCTAAGTAAAACCAGCATGAAATGTGACAAAATTATGTGTAATTTATATTATCCACTACTATTAAAGTTAGCTACTAATATTTTTGTTGTTTAATTAGTTTTTATTAGGAAAATATAAGTTTAAATTGTATATGAAATTTTGTGTGTATAAAGTCATCATCCAATTACTTAAAGGCATGTCGTATCTTTGTATTGAATTTTTTTAATTAATTTTAATTTGGTAAAGTAATGACATCATTGACCTCTATAATGGTAATTTAAATAAAGGTTTGACCACAATAATTCGATATAATACTAACTATAGAACTTGATAACTTAAACTTCCCCTCTGGCCTCTCCCTCTCCCTCAGCTGGTTCTTGACCTACAAAAATTTAATAATTATTTATCAGTTCATCTAGTCAATACAACAATTATATTTAAAATTAGAAAGATTGTTAATTTAGGTATTATTTATTTGATTTATTTTTTGTTTAAAAAAAACTATTTATTTGTAGGATCTTAGAGATTAATTTGATCTACTGAAAATAATTTGCACATTATTTTTCTTCTTTTTGTTAGTTTAGTTCTTAATTTAATATTTTATGAACGAGTTTTTATTTAAATTTTTCTTCTTTTGGTAGTGACTTGTATAGAAGTATTTATTTTTAAATTAGTTATTAAGTGATTTTTTTCTTTGAAATTTATTTTTTTTCAAAAGAAAATAGTTGATGTATTATTTATATTTATTATAATTTTACAATTAGGAGAATAAGTAAATTAGATAGTGGTGACTATTTAGAGACAAAATTAGACTTTTATTCAATATAAAAATAAAAAAAAAATACTTTTGAGATAAGAAATAAGTAAACGAGATTTTATATATACATCTACACCGTACAATTTCCCGTCAAAAGAAATCTACATTGTACAATAATTTTTTTGGGTACAATAAAAATGCTTTTAAAATAAAGATACATTGAACACAATAATTCTATATAGATTAGATACAATAACACTATTTTTAAAATAAAGATATTATATTTAATCTATTTTATAGATTAGATATATTGATTATTCAATAAATTTAAAAAATAAATTATCTATTATGAAAAAGAAGGAAAGTAATATTAAATTAATATTTTATATCAAGTTATCAACTACTTAACTAATATTGATACATACCTAATAACTCTCTAATATACCTTTCTCTCATAATTAATTTTGTACAAAAAAAACCCTTTTTAGTAACTTGTTAATTCACAAAAATGTAACCAATCATCTTATCCCCAAACTTTCAAGAGGCATACTCTTTTCATTTTCTCTATTGTAACATATTGAAACGTTGCATTAACCGGTGGATTTTATGATACCTTTAAAAAATAATACCATTACCTGCATTTCAATCCTTTACCATCTCATTTTTCAGAAAACATTGCTCATACTACTTTTCTCATTCTCTCTCCAAGGTTTTCTGTTGTATTCTAATTTTTGATCTAAGATCTTATTTCATACACATCATTGCATCTCTAACAAAATACAAAAATAATTTGTGTTTGTTCTTTGTGTTAAACAGGGTTTTGAATCAAGAAATCTCCATCAATACAAGTCTTGATCAAATTAGGATTTTGACTAAGGTGGATCATTAACTTTTGGTTCAGTACATGACCTAATGGCTTGAAGCATGATTCAAAGAACTCAAATGCAACATCTTGACTTAATTACATGGCTAAAAAAGCAATAGCAGATATCAAAAAGCATCAAATATTCAAAATTTTAACAGTTTCTTTTTAATATATCTATCTATGTGCTTTTGTTCTATATGATTAATCGGGTGAAATTGAGAAATAAATATATTGTGCAGGCTTCAACTCTACACTATGGCTTGGAAACATCACGCACCATGAATACATCTAGGTTGAATATATAAGTACTGCAGATACTTTATGGTTTCAGCTCCATGTAACCTTTCCATTTACTAATTGCTCTTATCTTCTTTAGGTTGGAAAATAAAGGGATGTTGGTTTAAACCATATTTCCCTCTTTGAAGAGAAAGTAGCAGGTGGTAATGGAAAGCAAGTGCTTAGCAAGAATATTTACATGCTAGGGCAACTGTTTGATTTCTTCATAATGTTTTCTTTCTACTTCACAATTGTTGGTTATTGTGTTTGTACCATCGTATAGTTCTTAAGCTCTCACAATTTCTTGGAAAAAATGGTGATGTTAACTGTTTTTGTTTGTCCATTGACTTTATCTTATTTCTTATTAAGCAAATGACAGTCCTCACAGTATATATATTTATGTAAGAAATAACATACCTGGTAAACTGTTAATTTTTGTTTAATTAACTGCTATATTTAACTCTTATTCCTCATTTAGTCACATTTTTTGTTCCATGAAACCTAATAGTTTAGTGAATAGATTTTGATTTAGGGTTTACATGTTATGCTATATCCTGAGTTATGTTGCATACATGATTTCTGAAGGTATCAAAAGACATCAAATTTCAATATGTTTGTTTACAATCTTAGAAAATACAAAGATGTTCACTTGTCTGACAGAACGTGGTTCTCATTCTTTAGGATGATCGTTGATACGACTGAGACCTTCGATAAGTAAATACGACATACAGGTTGCTCCATCATTAACAGGCCACTGCGAGCGATAATGTTAAAGTGTTTTTTCCAACCGCGAATTCGCCATGGTAACAGGCCAAGACAAAAAAATCCACGGCTCGGGTAGTTAGGTTAATTAACGACACTATGAATTGAGATGTTTGCATATGCAGGGCGCACTTTCAGATTTGTGCAAAAGTGATTGGTATGTGCAGATCTTTTGTTTGATCTTCTATTCAAGACTGTATGTTAGCATGCATGACGCACTTTCTTTAACTTGCACACAAGTTTAATGATTTCATAATGCGATACTTTACTCTTTATAAGTTTTTGTCATTTATCTTATACTATGTTTGTTTATTTGGATAAAATTTAACGAATTTAAGTGATTATTAAATTTTTTTTTGTTTGCAATTAATATGTTCATTTAGTTATTGACATTTGATTTTCATTTGTTATTCCAGTTATAGATCTTGAACATTGTTAAAGATCGACGCACACTTAAAATAGTTGTATGGTTCATATATGTAACTTAAGTCAAATGGTTTTGTAACTGAAGCTTAAAGAGAAATCGGATTGTCGGTCATCACCAGTGAAACCATTGTGGAAACATTGCTGGAAGCTGTATGTTTTTAGTTATTTTCAATGAAGTATAACTTAATTTATTTGAAAATTTCTTGATCAATAATTAAATTTAGTTATGTTTGTCATGCTTTCTATGCATTTTACTCTACTAATTTACCATAATTTTTATCACTAAAGGCTGCTGCCGCAATCCAGAGTAGATTGGACCTTGATGTTGCGGTGTGGCCGGTTTTCGACGACATCATCAAGAGGCTGGGAGTGCACAAAGAAACAGTTCTAGCAGATTTGATGGCATTTCAACAAAGGGAAATATTAGGGAACCAGAATATCAGGTAAAATTACTCGAATAATTTAACAATTACATTTTGTTGCTCCCTTTTAACACTGGTTACATGATACATCTGTGATTTGAAGTTTTCTAAATATATGATTTGTGAAACATTATTTTCGTGTCTCATTTTTTGAGCATGTTAGTATTTACTGATATTCTATTGTATTTATACTATAACTTGATAACTTCCATGTAACTTGAGGGCATTCAAAATATGCTTTGGTATGTCACAAATTTCCTTACAAGAGTATCCTCCTCAACATGTTTTTGTGAATTTCATATGAATTTAAGGGTCCTCTATTCTATTATAATAGCTTATATAATCAGGGTGACTGCAGAGAATGCACAGCTGAAAGAAGAACTTGAAATTCAAACATGCCTTGGCACTCAGGTAACCAATGTCTTTAAGTAGTTTAAGGATGTACTTCCTTTGATTAACAATGATTTCCTTAGATGATTTTGTAATTTTTAAGTCAAGAAAAACTTCAATTTATTAAGATCTTTGATATAGAATTATTGGTCAAGAAACATTTTAATATTGTGGATTTCTGTCGTATAGTTGCCAACTAGCCCAATGTCATATACATACATTAGGATAGTAGTAAAATTGATGCCTTTATATTGGATATATAATGAGTGGTCTGTATGAGAAAGTATACCCTTAAGAAGTTAAGACTAAGGATAATTTGTAATAGCATTCTCTACTCTTGAGTTTTCAAGAGATATGAGAATCTGACTTTTAAGGATTTGTCTTTGTTAGAGCACAAGAATCAATGATGAATAAAATGAATATATTTATGAGAGCAAGAGAATAACGGCTACAAAATTGTAAGGAAGAATGATTGAACAATGATTGTTGTATCTGTTACAAATGACATTTACTACTAGTCTATTTATACACAATGTAAATTGTCACGTAGGCCCTAATAAAACTAAACTTAATGACTAAGTTAAAAGGTACAAACTAGAAAATACTAAACTTAACAGCTACCCTAACAAACTCAGCTTCAGAATTCCAGAAGCTAAGCATACTTCTGGGCGTAACCTCAGAAGTTTCTGCTTCTGATTAATAACAACTTCTGGTTACATCAAACTACTG